TGAAGGACAATCATTGTCCATCAACATGAAGTATTACCTTTCTCTCCATCCCTTATGCCTTCACATGAGCACACACACACACACACACACAGGAACATGCTGACCTGTGAGGGAACACTGATTGAATCTTCAGTGGGATTAACAGGGATTTAGCCCAGTGTAATGATATCTGAATGAGTTGATTAGCTATCTGATGACACTTTGCAGTTTGACCTCTACAGCCCAAGAACAACTGGTAACTCATCGCATTCTCTCAGGCTGCATGTAAACTAGAGCAGAGAGAAAACAAACGAATACTCAACCTCCTTGAGGCAGCCATCAGCATTTCTGTATCCAGGCTAAATGAACCGTGTAACTGTATTACCGTGTGGGCAGCTGCGGTGTGATCAGTTATGGTTAAATATCAGTGTGGTTTGTCCCTGTTAAGAGAGTGACAAATCTCACAAGCGGTGACAAAGTGCGCACATGAACGTGGCGAAGGGTAAAGGTTTCCCAAGAAGGATAAAATACAGCTTCAAGCAGCAATTATCGACACATGAAGAAATTGTGATGATGTTTAAGGAAAAAAAGAGACAGGAAAGAAGTTTGGGGGGAAATCGCAGCTTAAGCATTGCTGGTGGTTGGCCCCATAACCATACACCACAAGAAGGGAAAAAACGTTAAAAGTATAGTTTGTTATTTTGGAAACAGACATATTTGCTTCTTCGCTTCCTTGCTGTGCTCTCAGGTGCTATGAACCAGACGATTTGTTGTCTTTCTCGACTGAATTGAAATTCTAAAAGGAGAAGGGAAATATTGTAATTTATTAATAATAAAATAAGTTGTTAAGTCCATACAGATTGTGAAAATTGAAAACGACTGCTTCAAATATATTTTGAGTTTAGTTGCACAGTCAGATAAAACTTTAGACTGTATATAAAGATGGACGACATGACTATTCCCCCAAAAGTGAAGCCAAAGCATCTCGATTGCTCCCTGGTGGCTGGCTGCAGTATAGGTCGTAAGTCCAGCATCCTCCACATGAGTGGATGGGACATGGACCAAACTGAAAAGTGTCAAACGATTTATTTCTCATAGATGGTTTCTGTCGTTCTTATCACACTATTTGTTCAAAGGCCAATTCTTGGACTAAATGCTGGTCTAACACATTCAACAATCCCTCCTTCTCTCTGCCGTCACCGTACAACCCAGTCATCACCCCTCAGTCATCGTATAGAAGACTAATTATTGATACATACATTGAAAATGATAAGTGAGCATTGGACAGTGACGGCAGAGAGAAGGAGGGATTGTTGAGTGTGTTAGACCAGCCTTTAGTCCAATAAATCTCCATTCAGAGGGGAGAGGCTGTCTATGCTGTTACACTGAATCATGGTAAATGTAGTCTGAATAAATTCTACCAAAGTGAATTCTAAAGTGGAAGTGGTTCTTGGTACAAGAGATCCATAAACACACTGCAGACGTTAAAATATTTATTTCACAGGCAGAGTGTACAGATGCAATTCAGAGACATGGAGTAAGGGTTTTCCGGGAGGGTCCCTCTCTCATCTTGATGCGGATCTGTCCCGGCTGCTGTTGTGAAGTTGATTCAGATTATAGCTGCGCTCCATCCCGTCGCTAACACAGAGGTTATGTGAGGACTGTGGAGACTGTTCGAGAGCTTTTCACCCTCTTGTCACAAATACCTGCACACTGGCTTTCGCAGCAAAAAGTGAAAGTGACTGTCGTGACAGTTGGTTTCAGGAAGTTTTTCCCACTCTAACTGTGCAAACAGCTCTTCACTGAAAGTATTCTGCAGTAACATTTGCCTGGAGATGGACGTCTGTGAGCTCGGGAATAATCTTTGTGAAACAAAGTTGAAAATCTGATCATTCTAGATGTGTTTAAATCTGATCCCTGTCTGTGACTTGGTGTTCAGAGTCAAACTGAAGCTGCTGCAGAACTGACAACCACCATAAATATTGTGCCTCAGCTGCTGTAGCAAAATAATTTATGTGGTGAAGAAGCATCTAACAGATCCAGACTGTTATATCTGTGTTAACGGGCAGTAAAGAAGTTCACTTCTCTAGTTTGACTGTTCCAATAGGTCAAAAGCATAAATATGAAAGTTCCCCTGCTGGCTCAGCAGGCACTGGAGCTGCTCTATCGATCAGTTTACCAGAGCTGGTGGTGCAGTCCATTTCTCCGACCTGACATTTTGCACTAGCTCTCATTTTTCTCATATATTTTAAGGAGTAAGACATGTCGGATGAGTAATGCAAGACGGCTTCCATCAACAGCTTTTCCCCAACTTGTTGTGAGTGGATCAGCTTCTCCCTGGTTGTGATGGTTCACTGAGCAAAATGTGCATCAAGTATGGCCTGCGTGTCCCCCACATACTTCTGCAAAACTTTAATTTGTCCAATGACACTGGTGAAAAATAATCCAAGAAAAAACCCTGCATGCTCTGCACTGGGAAAGTGAGAGAAGCTATATAATTACTGTCTGTAGGCATTATACAGCACACCACGCCACCTCCATCATCACCAAAATGTGACAGTGACAAAAACCTGAGGGCAGACAGCACCTAAATGAGTACCGAGATGACATTAGTTCACACAGTGTGTCTCCCTGGTGGAGCAGAAAGTTGCCCGCAGAAGTTCAGCAAAGTATAAACATGAAAACAAAACCGACAGAGGAGCCACTCGCTGATTGGTGTTTTCACTCTCGGAAAACACATCCTGTGCGGTGCTGCAGGTGCCAAGACTTCCATCAAAGATAGATGAGTCATGTTACACACACCCCCAATCAATTTCTTAATGACGGTTATTATATGGTTGAGCTGTAGAGTAGCTAAATTACTTGCATCCATTTCCATACCCACTTTAGAATTAGTAATGATTGTCATCAGCCTGTTTGAATCAGTGTGCTCATTTATATATTGTATCATGAATTCTACTGTCAGTGTGCACTGTCACGTTTATAAATGAGGGTTTGACACCTTCACTGTAACAGTAGCATTCATATTAATATTTATGATGTCAATTATATGAATCTTGACTTGTTATGGCAGCCTTGTACTAGTTGGCAGTATTTATCAAACATAATGTGAGGACGGCAGTCAGACCTGTGACAGAACGGATACAGACTCTCCTGCATCAGTACATGTTGATAAATCCTCGGCTTTGTTCAGAGATGGACTCACATCTTTGATGTTACTGACTCACAGCAGGACACCAAACACTCAGGGAGGTTGGATATCGGAATGAGCAGAGCTCTAGCGCCCCCAGGTGGTGGTAAAATGTGACTGCAGAGACAGGTGTAGCTGCAGGTTTTAACTGCTCATATATGTTATTCTGTACTAACCCTAAACAAACAGATAAACTCACTTCTCTTTCTTATTCACATTGCAGAGAGATTTCCTAAAAACTGTGAAAGCACCTACACATTCATGCTTGCACGCAGACACACTTTACTGGATGGTGTGCTTGTGTAGCAGAAAGCCCCGGTGCCGTTCATTAATCACTATGTTGAGGTTTTGATGCCACAGCAGGAATGGAAATGCTGCTCTGACTCTCATAGATATACTATACTGCCTCCATCAGCTTCACCAGAGTCCAGAGCTGAGAGAAGTTACACTCAGGCATGAGTGAGGGCGTCCATTTGCACAAATGGCAGACACATTCCTTTAAAAAAAATTTTAAATAACATTCACAGCTGATCTACTGCTAATATAAAGTCTCACTCCAGTAGCTTGTTATAGCCCCTAAAACTCTACTTTGTTCCTCAAAATTACATATTTAAAAGGTTTGTCATGAAAAATGTCCCTCGTTTAATGTAACTCTCCAACTTTCCTCTTCACTTCTGACTGGTAACTGTGAATATGCTAATATAACCAAGACCCTGCTCCCCATCACCCTCACAGCACCATCTGCAGTTGTGCAGCCTTTTCCAGATACTCAGCGCCACCCACAAGTTGACAGGATTGGTTTCCTAGGTTTGTGACATCACAAACTGTGACTGATTGAGGGCCCGGTCACACATACATGAATATATTAGTGATGAACCTTCACATTCAATGTTTGTGAGTGAGGAGGCAAATAAAACATTTGCTTCTTGTGCCAAAGCAAATCAGTGTGGCTTAGCTGGGGGTTCGGCCTTGGTGAACTTTGACCTGAGATATTTGCTCCGCATTCACGCATATATGAGCATTCCCTGAAGGTAGAAATACTGAGCCATGGTGTTGTCTGCTTAATGTATGTTTTATTATTATATTAACGGCACACAGGTGACATGTTAACATATTTAAAAACTAGATCTTCCCGGGATGGAGTCTCTAAAGATTGGAAGAAGGGATCGGTGCCAACACAGACTATTGGGCAATGTGTATCCACAGAATATCCAGAATGAATTGATAAATGGTGATTTAGATAGGTTGGTCTGTCTCGCCATCTCAACAGGTAAGGACCCTCAGCTCAGTGGTTAGAGCAGTGGATTTTAAAAGGTTGCACACTCGTCGATCCCTCAGTGACCGTGCAGGTGCCTTTATTCTCATCATTTGCATAATAGGGATCATTCACATACGAAAGACACTGGGCCCCATTCATCAAGTTTGTGAAAAATAGCATTAAATATACCATGGAAAGGATCCTGGACGCCTGCCACAAGTGATTAATGAGACATCCTTACTCCACCAGTTGGAGAGCAAATCATACATCAAATGCAGCAGTGGAATTAAAAACCATGTGGAACCAATTCTACATTAACATACGACACATGTAAAATTAGGCCTGCTTCGTGTATCTTATAAAAGGAGACTGGATACATTTGCATAGCTTACAGACGGGAACATGCTGCATTTAACAGAAGGTCCAAGATAATGCTGAGTGCCGTCGTAGATGATTTCAGTTCATACTGTCATGATCAAAAAGTGTTTTATATCAGTGTTCAACATGTGATCACAGTCAGAACTTTTGTCAGTTTTGATCTGGGAAAAAAACACTAAAGGAAAAGAAACATACTGAAAATTCAAGTGATCTTTAATATGCAACACAAAAATAACAAGTAACAAACTGAAATGAAGAAACAACGATGACTCTTCTCTTAACCGATCAGATTACTTTCCACTGCCAAGTAGTCACATTGCTCCACAATAAAAGAGACAAACACGCTGCAGGGTTTGTAGGAACATTTCATTAAAAATATCCAGAGCAGCAAGAAATACATTTGAATAAATAAGCAAAGGAATTACCTACTGCTGTGTTTTCAACTAACTTAAAAAATAAGAATTAACTTTCTGTCCCTTTAAGGTTTTGTCCAGTTCACTGGACATTTTCTGATAGAGGGACATTATTAATTCCAGCAATAAGCAACACTCAATTGGTTTTTTTCTTAATTGAAAAAAAAATCCAAATTAGTTGTATGTGTCTTGTCACACAGTAACAATTATGACTCAAGCTGCTTTTTTCACGACAGCAGTGCAGATGTTTTTCAACTTGTGACAGTGAACCAGAGTTCTGCTCTGGTTTGATTCTGGTTCAGGGCTCACTCTGCCATTAAGGCACGATGCACGTTGCCTTTCGAAGGGCCAGGTAGCCTGTGACGACATCAGTGGGGAGGAGGCGGATGTAGGAGAACTCCTCAGAGGATGTGAAGCGTAGTTTTGTCTGTGGGTCCACGTAGTTTGCCTGAGGAAAGACATTGTGTTCTTTATACACGACTTGGCTCAAATAATTCTGCTTGTTAAATCACAGTTTTAGCACTATACTCACAGGCAGTCCAGAGATGTCAGAATATTTTTTGGCTGGCTTCAAGGAGGGAGGGGCATCTATGTTGTAGTCTGTAAATACATAAGGATCATTGGAATACTTTTTGACACAATAATGAGCATTTTTTCTAAAACTGACACTTTATCACCACAGTCTCATATTTAAAAGTCAAGTGTGTAGGATTTAGGGGGTCATTTGGCAGAAAAATTATATATAATTCTCATTTTCATAAGTGTCTATTGAGACTCATTGTGTTTTAACTACCTTGGAATGAGCTGATTATGTCTACATCAGGAGCAGGTCCTTCCATAGTTGTCAAACATGTTATGACAGTAGTTCAGAATGGACAAATCAAACACTGGCACTGAAGAGGGGCTTTCATGTTTTCATGTTACCTGTAATGTAACAGCATAGGTTCTCCTATATGTTTGGAAGGGGTGGTGACGAAAGGGGTTGGTCGCAATATGCATGTTTACCACTAGATGTCACTCAGATCTAATACACTGAACCAGCAACTGACCAAAACATAACTTTAGATCAAACTTTAATTACAACTAATTAAATGGATTCCTTGGTTGGCATATTAAAAGCATAATTTAAAATTCTACCATAGTGTATAAACAACATGTAGCAGCTTAGATATAATAACTCACAGTTGGGATCATCAAACTTCCAGGGTAAAGTCCGCTCTAAAGCCAGAATCTGTTTGAGATTCTTCCAGGTCCGATTCTTTTTGCCTGCTGCTGCTCCACCAATCCCAGAGTGCTGCCAAGATAGAGACAGAAGACAAGAGAAAATAAACTGACTAACAAGCAATAGAAGCAGGTAAACCTAAACCAAGGTAGACAAAGACACTCACCATGAATGTGGGGTCTTTGAATGGAGGAGGCTTTGCAGTGGGCTCTGTGGTAGGTGTTGGACCGCTGTCTACTGATGCCGCTGCCTTCACCTCTGCTACCGTCTCTACTACGGTTATCTGATGAAACATGAGACAGCAGCAACAAACCACATTTCAATTCTCTTTATGTGTTTTGAAGGTAAACAAAGCCAAAGCTGAGCTGCACACAGTGTAACCTGAAACCTAAAGCTTCAATTTAATCTATATCTTATTGCATCAACGGTGCTTTACAGTCATATTTGGGGATAAGAGAAGATGGTTATTTATTAGCATTTCAATATTGTTTTATAGACATGTGCAACGCTCTAATCATAATTTACATGACTCACTACACACTATAGTTTTGTCTACTATAATATGTGCTCTACTGATCACTTGGACTTCTTGACTCTGAGTATTTGCCATGTATAACTTTTTATGATGTTACTTTTACAGTGTAGTGGTTTTCAAGGCTCAAGGTTTTCTTTATTGTTCCACTTGGGGAGAATTGATTTGCAGCCGGGACTCACATCCAACCAATACACAAAATCAACTGTGAGAGTAACTAGTTAAAAACACTAAGAGCATTGAACTAATACAGGGAATGGAAATTCATGAAACTACAAAAGAGTACAAGTACAAACAGGCAAAGTACTAGGAATGGAAAATTTAAAAAGCAAGCACTAATGTACCAATAGTCATATGTGCAAATAAACAAGTAAGTGAAAAGAATGTACCCAAAGTACTACTTGCTTCTCGATAGTGATAAAGCAGATATGAAGCCTCTGAAGCCATTAAATAGACTTCCTCTGGGGTGGGTGGTCTGGATAGTCCAAACTAGCATAAACCCTCCTTAGGACTTGTCTACAAATTATCAAATAATTATGAAAAATGTCCATAAGCTTTGCATGACTCCCACAACACATTTACAAGAAATGTGGACAAACAATAAAGTTGATCTATCTATCTATCAAAAATCTTACTGGTCTATATAAACAATACAAAATGTTGAAACAAGTTGAAAGTTTATAATTTGTCAATATTGTTATTCTGAGTTTGATGTAATACTCAAAAGTTACATTGCAGTACAGCATACTACAATAGTTATAGACTCAGATCATATTTTACTACAGTAATACTCTCTCCGTGCAGATTTCTGCCAATATTTTCAATTGAAATAATACTTGATAAATTAAACAGATTAGAATTAAGTGAAATAAAACTGACCAACATTTTAATTGTGAGAACTATTGACTCTGTCTTCATGTGCTTTCTCTGATCTGCCTTCACGATGAATACGATGTGTTTTAGATAATAACATATTTAGGGTTTTGTCTTTGTTGTTAAATTAATGGTTGTGTGTTATACCTGTGTCTGTACGGTCGGGGTCACCATCGGCGGGGCTTTCTTCTTCTTGCTGCCGCTCCCGGGGGCCTGCGGAGCGGCTGAGACCGCCAGGCTGCCGGGACGTTTCTTCCCCCGGAGAGCGGCACTGCTGGCGGCTGCCGGCTGGGCTCTGACGGTTATGGGGATCTGAGAAGCCATTTGTACTGATAACACATCAAAAACTGTGGATCTCCTCGATGTGAACCCAGTTTTCTCATTAAAACCCCTCAGACTTCAGCGTCCACCATCCGGACTGTAAACAAAACTTCACCCGGATATGGAACCATTTCACTTCCGGATAAGAGAGCGTAAAAATAATAATAATGTTTTAAATTCTAAAAAATGAGCCAACAAAACTAAAATACTTCTAGTGCACTCATAAACTATGATAATCTAAAATAATGAATAAACCACAATAATAAGTACATGCACAAACAAAGCTATATAACTGTGTGTGTGTGTGTGTGTGTGTGTGTGTGTGTATATGTGTTTTTATTATTGGGGTTTATCTGTTTTTATTAGTTCAAAATGCGTGGAAAGACCAATTAAGGTAACAATATTGTCCTTCAACCATTCTATGCACAGGCTCCAATAAACATGTCAGCAATGTTTTTCTATTACACTATTATATGTTGCACACAACACACTTTTGGCGACACTACATATTTTATAGACTTAATCATCTGGAAACTTAAAGTAAATCTAACCTGAGTCACTGACATCTCTACAGCAAGGCCCAATAATTGGGCTGTTTCTCACAATCAAAAAAAGTTTTGGATGGACCTGTCTTCAGAGTAAAATTTGTCCCCAAATGTTGCCTAAGACAGAATCCTCTGCTCCCTTCTCATATAAGTAAACAATTAAACCTGCATGCACAGACATCACTGTCAGTGAAGTGTTACTGCCACCCTGTGTTTCAGGGGAGGTTCTGCACCCAGTGATCTGTGCAAACTGAAAAAAGGAGGATCATATAATTGATGAACAGTCAGTAAAGACTTTTTCAGTTCCTCGTGGGACTTAGATGATAAATCTTCTTCACCGTCCTCTAAAGTTGCACAGGATGGACTTTTTGTTCTTACTCAGCAGTTGATTGTAGCTTACTGATTGTATCTTGTATCTGTAGCCTTTTATTGATCTCTTATATTAATTATCATCTTAAAAAAAATTGTTGACTCTCATTCCTCTAATTTATGTTCTTCTGTATAGGTTTCGTCCTAAATATACAGTAAAATATCGAAGTTACAAAGCATAGGCCTGGGATTATTTCTATTTTTGTAAGTAATTACAAATAAAAATGTATGTAATGGCTCTTTGTTCTGATCTCGTCCATGGGATACAAATATATTTCCAACTATCATCAAGAAATAGCTTGGAATTGACCACAACTATATGCATAAAATTATAATAATATGTTTCTTCTCAATGAATCCGAAATTCTGTTTTATGATGAAGTTTTGCTCCCTTCAAACATTCCTGTCACAAGACTGATTTGATTCTATATTATATATATATCCACAAATAACAGATAGAGGGACATTGTGGGGGCATGATCAGATTTGTGTTTTTGTTGCTGAAGCACCAGAAAAAAATCTATGAAAATAACATAAAATCTGTGAGGGGTAAAGTTAAACCAACATGCACCATAATTGACTTTTCTAAACAAACAGGACAGTTTGGAGAAAATGTTTCTGAGTTAGATCCCACCTCCTGTTTGTCTCAGTGAAATTGATGTACCATCCAAAAACTTGAAACCTGTTACTCTGAAGATAATAGGTCCAGTCTTGATTTAATTTGCACACATTTAAGATTATTTCATCTTAATCTGAATGTTGTCGTGATCAAAAGAGGGAAAAGTATCCAGTATTTTATCCAATTAAGAGAAATGTCTTAATCCCTGCAGCCCCACAGTTGGGACATACTGCAGCAGAACACTGCGTTGCCAAATATTTACTGTTTGAATACAGTTATAACAGCAACTGAACTTACTTGGACCTGATGTGTGAAAGATTGGAAGTGAAAAAGCTTCCCTGACAGGGATCTATAAAGTAGTTCAGGTGAAGTTGAACAAGCTCTCCTGTCAGCGTAACTGCAGGCTGAAGTGGCCTCCGGTTATCTGCTCTTTGATTAGAATAGAATCCCAGGCCTTGGGAGGTACATGGTAATTCTCTTGTCTCTCAGTCACAGTGTTTCGCACAAACACCTTAAGGAGAGAGCGCCTCTAGCATATCCATCAATCTGCACCGGCCTACTAGGGAGGGCCCTCTCAGCATCCACACATCTCCACACAACAAAGATGTACCACATTCAAATTCAACACGGTGCCCTCTGAGCTGCTGCTGCTGCTGCTGCTGTGGAGACCTTGATGAACTGAGGATGCTGGTGTTTAGTGTTTGAGAGCCACACACACGCAGTTGCTTTACGGAATCTTTACTGTCCTTGTCGTGTCTGATAGTGACTAGAGGACCACACTTGCTGGGGGAAATGCTGATTCAGAGGAAGGTCTCTCCAAATGTCTCATTCATATTTCAGCACTGGCATACTGCCGCTGCCAGCTACATGAATAAAGTATATCTAGAGACTGTGTGCGAGCTCAATTGCAAACAGATATGAATGTTTTATGGGTGAAGTTAAACTATGAGCGGATAACTGTGAGGCACCGGACCCACACACCCCATTCCTTATGAACACATCCTCTACTGTACGGGGCCGACAGCCGGCTGGAACCAGTGACATCAAAGTAAGAGATTTTCCACCACCTGTACTCCAGTTTATAGTCTAAACACATCTGGCTGCTACACACAGCTCTTCTGTCAAACAAGGGAAGCTGCTCTCAGCTGTCTGTTCTGCTTTTACAACTGTCCATCGAAAAAAGCCTTTCCACCATGATGTTGATTTTCAACCTGACACACACACATGCACATATGCTCTTAGGGGTGTCATTTAAAAGCACATTATGTAAGTCAGTTGGTGGAGTTTTCTGCTCTGATGACTCTGGAGTAGGGTTTAAAACAAACATGTAAACTTGGCACAGCCCGCAGCACCACTTTATTGATTTGCGTCAGCGAGTGATTGACTGGTGTTGGATATGTGTTAATGTTTGTGATGGGAATGGATATCTCACGTGTGCGAGAGCATGCATGTGCAGGCAGATCCAGCCTAGTGTGAGGACTTTTTGTATTGGTAGAAAGATTCCTTGGATATGTATGAGTGTGTGTGTGGTAAGAGACATTTCAGTTGCAGTAGTCAAAGAATTCGAAACATTGAATGCATGTGCAAACTTTATACGTCAAATCAGAAACAAAAATCTATGTACAGATAACTGAGCAAACCTGGTGTTATTCACTTTAGCCTCACGCCACTGTTAAACAAATTTGTACTGCGATGCCTTGCTCAAGGTTGTATCAGTAGTGTTTTGGCCTCCCTAAACTACAACTGAAAGTCCCAGGCCTGCTTCTCTATTCTACGAGCATGCTGCACAAAGGATATGGACTGTTTATTCAAAAAGAATAACAGGGAACAAACTGCTTTATCAAATCCAATCCTTCACAGCTTTAAAGTGGATTTGGTGCAGCTACAGTGGATATTCTCTCCCAACGATATGATTAGAGACTGTAAGAAAAAAAAAGGAAAAATTAAAAGAAAGCCAAGGTTATGAAAGCCTTTTGCAGATGTATAATGACTAATACAAGAAGGCAAGCTTGTCGGGGCGGAATGCAAATAGGCTGTGTGTATCACATATTTAATCATTCACTGTGCTGTTTCTTGCTTCCTGAATACATTCCGCCTGACCTGACCTAGAAGTGTAGCTGTATTGCTATTCACATCTCATCAAGTCGGCGCAGGGTGGTTTTTGTCTGTGCAGGTAGAACGTTGAGTCATAAAAATGATACACAGCTCCTTGCTGAATTCATTATGTGCAACAGGAGTTTGGCAGTGACGCTGACACCGACCAATTTGCATGTGCTACTCTGAGAGAGTGGACAGGCACAGTATCTTGCACATCACATTTTGGCCTCAGTGAATCTTTCTCAGAGTTGCACCTGGGGCTGCACTGCCAATCAGAAACAGAATTTACCACCCCTGTGAATAAGCAGTCAATAAATTAGTATCAAGTGAAAAAAATGAACTCACTGAATCGGGCGGCCACGCTCTGCCTGGCAATGGCAATAGCCTGAGCACTCCCAAGTGCTTCTCTTATTCTGGTAATAAATCCTGATGAAAAAAAGGTTATGCCTGCAGTGAAGACATTTAAACACTCCCCTGATGGAACAGGTAATAGTGAGCAATACTGTTGACATCTTGTTTATAGCCTCTTGTAACCGAGACTCTCCCATTTGCCGTAAACAGTTCTCCTGTTGCTTGTGGTGGAAAAGAGGAGACAATTTTCTTTGCCACTCTCTTTTCTCTACTTTTTTGTCTTTTTCCTTTCTGTTTTTAGCGTTATGTGACAGCGCCTTAAGTGGATCTGAGGTCATCCAGGATGGATGGTATGTTTTTGAAGCGGTGGCCAATAAAAAAGGCACAAGTTATGGCCCTCTGTCATACTGAGCTGACCAGTTTATACGGCGTGCCACCACACAGGTATATTTCACTGTAAATTTAACTGCAACATCTGGATGATCACATGTGCTTCCTGTTGGACTGATAACATGGAAATGTTTTGTTTTAAACAATGTTTTGCATGTAACTGTCTCATCATTTGTAATTGCATCAATTGACCTGATAAGCATGGGAATACAAAGCAGCTTTGGTGAATACAGTCTGATAACAGGGATGTTGAATACAGGAGCCAGTTATCATATCCTTTCATAACCTTAAGTCTGAGTGCCCTCAAACTTGAAAAAAGAAGCCTTCATTTGTGTGGCTTGTTCAAAAACAGATGCATGCAAACATTTAAGTGTGATACCACTTGATAAAGGCGACAGCAGCACCAGAGGGCAAGTTCTAATGACGATTGGCCTCAGTATTGTCTTTTTTATTTGACTTGTATTTTGTGAGCTGATATTCTGGTTCTCTGCAATTCCCTGAGGTTCAACATGTTGCTGTTTGGTTAAACCAGGATAAAGGATGCCTTTTGGTCACAAGCTGTATCCCACAGAGTTATTCACTAAAATGTCATAATGCTGATGGTAAGGATCTTGTCCTGGATGTAAATGGATGAGTATATAAGTATTTGTCTTAATGCTCCACTCATCTCTGTCAGACAGTTTATTTTGTATAAATACTTGATACACTTCCCCATTTATGTTGGACACTTTCTTTTCTCATGAATGTTGTAAATA